ATAAATTTTAGTAAAATAGAAAAGAATCAATTACAAAATAACAAGTAAAGAGGTACGAAAAAAAGTTATACAATCATTTTCCGTGTTAATTAGCCCTTAAGAAAGGAATAATATTGCTTCAAAATCAAAAAGATATGAAAAGATAAGACAAATCCTTTTCGAAGAATCTGGTTTTAACAAGGTAGCGAGGAAGTGGTGGAGTGGGGAAGAAAGTTTCAAACATTTTTAATGTCATTGCTTTAAGACATAATCGCAGATTCCTAAATGTAAACTTAAATTTTCCATAATTCAAAAGCACAAACTAATGCCAATTTTCTTTTAGACCTTTTTGCTTTACCTTAACAATCTTGAGCCCCCAAAATGTAGGACAGGGAAAGGGAAGAGATCAAATATGGGAAAGAGAAATAGATGAAGAAGAGGGAAAGGAGAAAAGAATAGAAAAAGGATAAAATAAAGGGAAGGGAAAGAGGAAAACAATAGAAGTTTAAACTATTACTCAAACAAATGTTAATATGAATTTAAGAAGTCATTTGTCTTAACTTAAATTAAAGTTAAGGATGGCAATGGGACATTGTAGGGTTGGAGAATCATTTCTCGTCCATGTTCTCATGAATGATAGAGATGAAATGTCTATTGAGATTTGTTACGAAAGGTAAATTTTGCCCATGTCTTTATTTCTGTTAATATATTTCAAAATGTAAATTTTTTTTATATATAATCACTTAATATTCAATTACAATAAATAAAATTTTAAAATTTCAAACACAATTAACTAAAATCTTCTAAATATATAATCAAATATAAATTATTGAAATATAAACAAAGATCAATCAAATATAAATAACTAAACTAATAGATTTATTCCTTGTACAACAATAAATTTAATAAGATTAAGTTGGATTAAATTGTGTAAAATTAGATTAAATATAATTTTTATTGAGTTGGATTGAAATGTAATGATATATTGAATTTGATTAAATTTAAAATAAAATAAATTTATTTTTTTAATTTTTCACAAGATGAAATCCCCACGTACTTTACAAGGTGAGAAAAATTCACCGCATAAATATACAGAAAAAAAGCACTCCCATCCTAGCCTTGCATGAAAGTGTATTCCTCCTTGTCACATCACATGACGGGTATCTCCATGATCTCCATGGGACTTGCACGAATCGAGAAAAATTATCATCTTAATCAAAATTAAAATTTAAAATCTAATAAAATATTAAGTATAAAAAAAATTTAAATAATTACATTTGCACCTTTAATTTAGTTATATCAGGTGATATATAAATACATTTTTCTTCTCTTCCTTCGTGCCAACGATTTGAATTAACATTTGTTTAAAAAAAAGATTTTAATAATTAACATTAAATCCTATAATTAATTACATCTGCTTTATAGTACTGAAAAAGGAGGTTACATTTGCTTTTGGAGTCTGACACTTTGCATTGCTTCTTCATGAAGCAGAAGCAGATGCTCATGCATTAAAAAAGAGAGAGAGAGAGAGAGAGAATTAGTTGATATATATAAAAGTATTTTAAATTAAAAAATTAGTGTATTAATTTTAATTTAAAATTTTAATTAATTTTTAAATTTAAATATTAATATTTAATAAAATAATTATTTATAATTAAATTAGTCAATATATCTAATATTTTTTTGTGGATATAAGTTT